AGGAGTCCATCATTATTTCTTTTCTGTGAAACATAGGAAAGATTGGTATTAAATTACTTAAAAGTTATTACCTTGTCACAGTTTGAATACCGCTGCACTTTACTGAGCAGAGAAGTAAAACCTAGCCAACCACAGGTCCCAGAGCATAAAGAAAACTCCAGGTGAGAATATAAAAGCACTCACAGAGCAGAGCCCAGGCATACAATGAAGAACAGAACTGCCCACTCTTACTTCATTTCCGCTGGGAGTCAAACCCAGGGTCTCACGCATCCTAACAAGCAGTCCAGAGAGGAACAGATCCCTAGCCCTATAGTGCCCACTTTTAAAGGGATTCATTTATGGGGTGTGGAGCTAGCTCTCCACATTTAAAGGACGAAAAAGGAACCTGAGAAAACGGCAGGGGCCAATATTTACCAACGGTTTAAAACGTTTTATATCGGTATTCTTATCAAACGCTCCAGCTAGATTAAGAATTTTGGTATCCCCATGGTGTTCCAGACTGTCTATCCTTCTGTGTGATGATTCAAGAGAGACTCAGTCAATGACTCAGAGATGGGGAACATCTGACATGTGATGTGAATGGGGGGGGTAGTAAAACAATGAGGTCTCTGAGAACATAGGGTTTCTTATGTCCTAAACACCACATCCTAATCTACCTGGATTTAAAAGGTGTTCTGAGAACATGCCCCATGCAGGCCATTCAGCAAATATGCTGAATAACTGCTACTTCGATGGTACTCCCATGAAAGTCTATATTAAATGACCCCTCCGGCCTCACCTTCAAAGGCCTGAGTTCAAACTATGCAATAGCAACATTATCATTTAAGTAGTATTAAAGCTTCCATTTTCGAATTCCTAACAAAAATAATTTCCTATTTTTTTCCCGTCTTGCTAGCACCCTGCTGCTGAAAACCTCCTGAAGCAAACTAGAGAGGTTCAGAAACCAATCACTGAGCCTACAAATCTGTCTCAATTTCTATTCAATTCCAAACCTTTACAGGCTTCCTCTTTCAAATGCCTAATTATCAAAAACAACTTTAATAAAACATGAAGGGAAAAAGCTAAGGAAATATCCTAAGTAATGCAAGGGCAATTCTTTACAAATCAGTTTTTTCTTCCACACACACATACCACAAGAACACTAAAATACTGCTGTATCACTTCTATGCAATCTTTTTTAGTTAGTATACAATAACTGTCACATTTATACCTACATAATCTTAACTCATTTAAACTCTAACCCTCTACTTTCTACTCTGTTAGTGGAGATAGATAGGACTTTTAAGCACGTTAGCCAACCACTGGCCAAGTAGAAGGTTTAAATATGCATTGGCTTTTAACATAAACCAAGTCTTCGCTGCTACCTCATTACTTAGGAAACAATCCCACTTTCTGTGGCAAGTGTCATCAGGCAGTAGCTTTGCAAACAGAGCAGATACAAAACTGTCTCTGAAGTCCTCAATGCTGCCTCCTCCTCTGAAGAGGTATACTGCTTAGGGACAAAGCTAACTCAACATTCTTCCTAGGTTTCCTTGGAATACTTGGGAGTACCTGTAGACAATGCCTGTGTTCCAGCCACTGGGAGTACCTGTGGACAATGCCTGTGTTCCAGCCACTTCTGGGTCCCCAGACTGTGACCCAATGGTTCTTAACCCTGACTCACATGAGAACTACATGGGGAGTTTATAAAAATATTAATGCCTGGGCTCCGTCCCAAACCCATTAAATGTCATGGGAGTGGACAGCAGGGAGGGCCAAGGATCAGCAGGGGGAGCATTTATTTTAAGCTCTGCACGTGATACCAACAGGCTGCCAGAGGGAAGAGCCCCTACACTTTGACACTTCAGATACTGAATTTGTGTGCAATCGTACATGAGAACACGCGATAGGTATATGGGTATGGAAGAAAGTAGGACTCAACCCAAAAGTCTCACCCTCATTAAGTCCAGGCTAGGTCATCTCTACCCTTTAAGTATACAGCACGCCAGTAAGTCGCCAGCAGCAGGCTGCACTCCGTGAGTTCACACTGGTAAGTCCGGGCTATGTTCTTACAATTCCTCCCAGATTCCAGCCTTGCTCTCTCCAAATCTACACTGCTTTATTCTTCTTTTACCCAGTTGGCTTAGACAATGCAATGGACGGACACAGGCATGCAGCGATCATTCGTCGAATATAAAAATCCCAAATGCTAATAACAGGTAGTGTGCCACGTCCTCATTATCCAACTAGAGCTCGTTACTACCACACAGGAAAAGTAGGGAATGCCAAAAGTCAGGGGAAACGAAAACAGAGCAAAGAACCAATTAATGGAAACTAGACTCTGCCTCATTAAGACTATCTGGAAATTTGGACTTTTATATTCAACTCCCACAGAACCAGCTCTGTATCTTATCCCTTGCTGGATAGTTTTAGCTTCTAACCCATCTCCTCTCTAAACCATCTCCTGGTTGACACTGGGATGTTTGGCCTTAGTCAGGTGTCATTGCAGCAAGATAAATAATACACTAGAATAATAAAGCGAGAATACATCACAGGGAAACTTAATGTGTACATTTTGGGGGTTGGGGAAGGTACTGGCTTCACTATGTATTCCCATCTGGTATCAACTCAACCACATAGAGACCTCCAGGATAATCTGGAATATACTTCTTTGGGAATGTTGTGTGAATGAATGAAGTCTCTTTCAACAGTAAACAAAAAGACATTTTAGTTTCACTGGTAGCACCTAAAAGTTTACAAAATACAACTTACAAAAACAGGAGTGCTAAGCTACACAACACATGAACCCCTTCAGCAAATGGCTTTCACTACTCAAAACTAGAAGAAATGCCTCGCAATTCTAAAACAGCAACAGCCTAGAAGACATGAAAAGGGTTCAACTTCAACACTCTGCAATATATATTCTGCAACTGCTAAAACAATCTAAAAAACAACAACAACTGTTCTAGAATTCTAAAACGAAGGGAAGGAGACACTCGAGAAGCATGCCTGCTAATTAGATACTGTGGTAAAATATGACTTTGTTTTGTTGGGTCCTACAGCTTGAAACAGAGCCATGGTTACCACTAAAAGAAAGCAATTCTCAATTCCCTATTCAATTTTTTAAAAAAAGGTTCAAATTCCACAGACAGGGAAGAAAAAAATGGTACCCTGGGTTGTTTGTTTTTAAGGAAGATTAAATTTAGGAGTTGCCAACACCCGAACGAAAAACATTCCAGAGTATTCGACTCAATTGCAGTGGGGAGTCATCTACATTCTCAGCAATGTGCTCCTCACTCAGAGGAGGACCCACTCATAAAGGATGTTTTTCAGGCTATCACAAGATACACCCCACTTATTGTCCCTGGTTTTTTTTTAAGCAATTAAAAAAATAATTTTAGCACAAGCAGCCAGACCAAAAAAATGAAGTTTAACATCTGCCAACATAGTTCCCAAAATAAGACCCCTGTCAGATGAACCGTGAAAAAAAAAAAAGAGGAAAAATGACAAGTTCTATTATTTGGACCATCCGCTGCTTTTAAAAATAAAGCTGTGGAATGTGGTCTTTTCAAAGCTTTGTCTTCAATTCCCCTTAATCTTCATATTTTTACATTAAAAAAAAAGAAACCTGGAAATTTGATTACCATTCTTATGAATTCCTTTGAAAGCAATTTTAATGAGGAACAGATATCTTGTACAAGTAGTAAAACCACAGAGGACAGTTGTTCTGACTGATAAAAATCTCTGAAACAGTCACATAAAAATACAAAAATAGACCCTACAGAGGCATACTCTGATTTCCTAGGTATGGAAACCATATTAATACTTAAAATTATAACTCTAATACCCTCCTTAGTACAAATCATGTACACCACAATTAAAGTCGGCAATTTGGTGGGGGCTTGGGTGGAGACAGTCTCGCATACACATAACCCTGACTGGTCTCGAAGGGCCCATCTTCCTGCCCCAGTCACACGAGGCTGGAATAATGCGTATGAGCTGCAATGCCTGGCTTTTACTGTGGTTTTCTGTTTTCTTTTGTTTAAGTGGTGCTAGAGATCAAACACTGGGCCTTAATGTATGCTAAGCAAACGGTCTCCCACCGAGCTACATTCCCAGCCCAAAGTTAGCAAATATTTTAACAGTTCCTTAATGGGCAACAAGACCAGGAATAAAGAAGTTGTGGGTGGAGAGTAAAAACTAAAAAGCCACTGAGTATGATGTGGCTTCCCCGGGTGAAACACAGTGGTCAAACCACTTCCCCCAAATGGTTTTGAACAGTTACCTTTCAGGTAGATGGAGGTGTGATAACACACTTGGGGAAAAAAATCTTTACACAGTATTGTAACAGAATGCCCCTGCTGCCTCAAGAAATGTTTTTGTGAAATATCAAAAATGCCCCCAAACAAAAGACCACACCTCCCACAAATGTTTTCCCTATTATTAAATACCGCAAGAAATTCCTGAGCCTCCAACATCCCTACTGTCCAAAATATCACTTGGGTGGGGGTGAAGGGGTGGGGTGATGTAGGCTACATTGCACGTTTTTATTTGACACATTCATCTCGGGTTTACCGCGAGATAACGCTGCCTTAGATATTGCTAAGGCTAGGCTAACTCTTTACAGGTGCTTTCCTTGTCAACACTGCTAGGGAAGTGGAGATAAAACAACCTGATAGCCCGGGATGGACACGTGGGAAACCAGAATACGTCATCACCTCCACTAGCCGATTTTCCTAACTGATCACCCCCACACGGAAAAGTCTGGGCTGGCAAATCTTGGGGACACAAACTGTCTACCTAACGCTCTCAAGTAGGAACCCGGTCCCGAGGGAGTGAAGAAGCACGTGTCCTAATCTGGTTCGGAGGAACTTCCCAGGAAACATTTGCTCACAGTAAAACTCCACCAGGGCTGAAAGGGAGTGGAAGGGAACCTCCGAGCCCCGGGTCGAGGGAGCTCCCTGGTGGAAGCCACCGGAGGCGTCCCGGAGCCCCGCAGCGGCCCGCCCCGCCCGGCTCACCTCCGCGGCGGGGATGTTCACCACGCCGGTGGAGCGCCGCTTCTCCCGCAGCTTCCTCTTCTCGATCTGCCCCTTGCCTTTCCTGGCGCTGGGCCCCGAGCTGCGGCCCTTCTCCGGGGCTCCGTCCGGCTCCTCCTCGTCGCCCCGGGACGCCGGAGCTCCCGCGGCTGCAGCGGAGGTCGAGCATTCATCCTCCGGCCGCCGCGCGGAGCCGGGAGCCGAGCGGGACAGCGCGGAGGGACCGAGAGCGCAGTTCAGGGCGGAGGGGCCGGGGGCAGCAGGTGCGGCCGCGCCCGCGGGGCCGTGGTTGAGCTCCGAGGTCCCGGCGGCCGCGGTTGGGGACAGCTGCCCCGCTGGAGACTTGGCGGCCGGCTCGCCGGCGCCCGAACCCGGGCCGGCGGGGTTCTGCTTGGCGCGCATCTTCTCGCGCTTCGCCTTCCACTCCTCCAGGAAGTCCGTGGTGCTGCCGCCGCTCCGGTAGCCGCCGGTCGCCATGTTCCCAGAGGGGCCGGCGGGGGCGCCCCTCTCGCCGCGCGTCCCGACTCCGCCGCCGCCGCCGCCGCCGTCTGCCAGGGGAGCAAGAACGCGAGGGGGACCGCGCGCTGCCCGACCGACGCTCTGCAGGGGAAGCACACCGGGCGCGGGGGCGGGGGGCGCGGCGTCAGGTCCGGGGGCAGCCGCGGGACAGCGATCGCCTCCCCCTCGGCGACCCCGCCAGCCCCCAGACGACTAAGTTCGCACGGCTCGCCCCCTGCCGAGCACCCCGAGATTCCCCGACCTCCCCGGGGGAGGAGAGAGAGGCGGACCCCACCCTCGCCACCCTCCCCCCCCCGTCCCGCCCGGGTCCGCGACCGCGCACCGGGACACCCGCGCCGCTGCCACCTGCGTGCCGAGCTCCCCGCGACTCCTCTCGGCTCGCGCGGGCCCGAGCTCCCGGCGCCACGGACGCCTCCATTCCGGGACGGGGCATGGAGCCCCCAGCCGGCTGGAACAGGCGGAGACGCGTCCAGCGGAGACGGGGATCGGTACACGAGTCCCCCGCGGGCGACCCGGGGAGCCCCTTACTAACCTCGGAGAAGTTTAGCTGGGACCAGGCGCGGGGCGGGGATGAGGGTTGTCCAGGTGAGCCAGAGCGCTCGCGACGCGCACGACCAGCCACGGCCAACTCGCCCCGCTGAGCTCGGGGGCAGTCCCTGGCCGGAGGGAGGGAGAGAGCGAGCGAGGGGCGGAGGGGGCGGGAGCCGAGCGGGGCCGAAGCGGGGCGGAAAGGGCCGAGTCCCTGCGGCCAGAAAGGGGTGGGGGAGGGAGTGCCGCCGAAGCCACGCCCTCCGCGCCCAGGTGCGCGGCGCCCGGCCCCTCCCGCCGCTGCGTCCCCTCCCTCCCCGGGGCGCGGCTGGGGCGCCAGCGGCTGCGACACCTAAATTCTTCCAGCTCTTGGGAATCTGGGGCGGGAACGGGCCGCTCCACGCCCCTCTCCTCATTCCTCCTCCCCGCCTCTCGGGTCTCCCACCACTCTTCCTTTTAAGTACAAGACCGTATTATTCTAGGGAAAGTTGTGACTTGCTGAAGGCAAGTGCCACCAGCCAGTGATGATTCAGGACCTGGCTCGCCAGGGTGGGGAAATACCCAGGCGTCCCTTTCCCCTCGTCGCCTTTCCTCCCTTTCCAGATGCATGGGGGTGGTGGGTAGGACACCGGGAAACCCAGCAAGCCACTTCAAAACAGCGAGTGTCGTGGTAAGAGGGGGTTAGCTAAAAGAAGCAGCTAAATTTTAGAAGAAATTATCAAGAGTTTATTATTCTCTCAAACTTTTAACTGGACATGATTCCTTTCCACACTTGACTGTATTTGCAGTTCATCCCGTCTTCACGCCGTCTCTACCCCGCTCATGGACGGATTTAGCAGCAAATCTCCCACCAACGTCGTAAAACTGGATAGTCTCTATTTTTTTCCATCCCTACTATGCTCAGGGATGAGTCCATCCTCACCTGTGTGCAGTCTAAGGTCTCTAGATCAGGGGTGAATGCCCCACCCCACCCCGATCTCTCACATCCATGTAATGGCAGAGTGCATCGTTGTCTGGGGCTGTGAAATGAAATCATGCCTTCATTTCCTAAAAAGTAAGTGCCGTGAGTCACACAGGCTGACCTAACAAATCTTTCTCCTTTTGCTCTGGTGGCACAATGTAGCAAGGAGGCAACAGATACCTACCACAGCAATGGGAACAGGCGACAATGACTCACAGCCTCTGCATTTCTCAGAAGCAGCTCAAGTCTTTGGGCTGAACATAGTGTTGTTAACTTGGAGAATGCTTAGAAAGTTGCTTGGTAGGCCGGGCGTTGGTGGCGCACGCCTTTGATCCCAGCACTCGGGAGGCAGAGGCAGGCAGATCACTGTGAGTTCGAGACCAGCCTGGTCTACTGAGCGAGTTCCAGGACAGCCTCAAAAGCCACAGAGAAACCCTGTCTCGAAAAACCAAAAAAAAAAAAAAAAAAAGAAAGAAAAAGAAAGTTGCTTGGTAAAATGTCTCACCTGAGACAAGACTTTAAAACAGACCGATTTTGAGCCTTGCTGGCACAAACTGAGGGCGCCACATAAATCTCTCCGAATCATTTTCTTTCCTTAGTTTTTAAGAGTCAAGATTAACCTGGCAGTGATGGAGCCACTCAGGAGGTAGAGGCAGGCAAATTTCTGTGAGTTCGAGGTCAGCCTAGTTTACAGCGTGAGTACTAGGACAGCCATATGCAGAGAAACCTTGTCTCCAAAAACAAAAGAGGCAAAATGGAACCGACTATAACCTTTCGCATTCATTATTTACCTGAGGATGGTCTCTGGGAGTGATTGTAGACTATTCTGGAAAGAACATGCTCAGCCTGGATACACTAATGTAACTTACCACACAGATTTTTAGCCTATGTCTAAATTCTCTAAGTTCGGTGGCTTTCTTTACTATAAAATCAATAATAGTACCATATATTTTAAAGCTGTCTTAAGAGTTGACTCCGATTGTAGCATGCTTGATTCAAGGACCACTCCTGTTAATAAGATATCCAACTGCCCTGGGTTTCTGAATGGGGAGACAGAAAGAAGAAGGAGGAAGGGTGGAGGAGGAGGAGGAGGAGGAGGAGGAGGAGGAGGAGGAGGAGGAGGAGGAAGAAGAAGAGAAAAGATGAGGAAATGAATATATATTAACTTGAAAACAATAGACCTTGAATGAACAAGGGTAACATTTATGAAAATAAGTTTATCACTGCATCTCTTAGTATTAATCGGCTCTGAGTCAGGAGTGCTGGCTGGCTTCGCTTTGGGTAAGTTGCTTAACTTTCGTGCCTCTGTTTACCTGCATATAAAATGGGGATAATGATACTTCCTACATGTTAAGAGCATTGTGAAAGTGCCTCGGGCTCTTAGATAAAAGGTAACATGTGAGAACCAGAGCAGTTACTGGTCTATAAAGTGCCCAGGGAGTCACAGATGAAAGAGATTGTTAAGGTACAAAGCACTCTATTTTGTTATTGTTATCGCTTATTATACCTTTTGTCCTGACTTTACCATTCTCTGGATTCCCAAAGATACATTGCACAACCAGGCTTCCTTCAACATTGTGGCAAAGTATTTAAGCCGAGTCAAGCCTGAACTGCAAGATGTTTGCATATCATCTTTATGCATAGACTTCTGAGGAAGTAATCCTCAAAGATGTGGAGCTTGGCTTCTCTGCCTCCACACTATTGACATTTGGGGCTGGGTGGACCTTTGTTCTGGGGTTTCCTTCATTCACTGCAGTAGGCTTAGCATCATCTTGGACTTCAACCTTCCAGATGCCAGAAGCATCCATCAAACCTTTGTGGTATTGCCAAATGCTCCTGGTCAACAGTAAACCCTCGGAGTTGGCCTGACATAACTCATTTCAATGATCCACTTGTACTTACCAATAAAGGAAGATATGCTAATGTTAACAGAAGAAGCAAGATTTTATTTGAACATGTCAGAGTAAAAAGATTTTAAATAATAACCCTCACTTATACCTCCCAGTCAGTAGACCAGTTGAAATGATGATTAGTATATTGGAAAAATACCCATTTTTATTTCAATGCAAATATCTCTAAAGCATATAGGTAATTCTCATTCAAATTAATAGACAAGAATAGTGTTAAAGTACTTCAGTTCTACAAGGATTATAAGAAAGGACAGCAAAGCTCTCCTTACCCTCCCCATATACAACCATAACAATGAACTCTTAACTGTTTCTGATAATACAGATTTCATGTTTATTGTTTAAGTACACTTATATTGATTTCTCTCATGCTAGCTATATATACATTTTTCTTACACCTAAACTGTATTTATACCATGATCTTACTGAATATATATACACTCCATGTTTGTAGAGTTACGACAGTGCATTGTAACACGGGGTTGTGTGGTGTGCTAAGATTCCATTTCTTTCATTTTTACAACTGTATTTCTTTGTTATAAAAATATTCCTCTGCAGTTAAAGCTTGTTTTTATTCTCTTTTTCAATTACTGGTGTGGTTTTCCTTATACTGCTTTTAAGTTGACACCCACATTTTCCTTTTTGGTGCATTTCAGCAGATTGGCTAATTTTTTGGCTTCATCTTGCTTTTTCCTGAGAGACCTGTCTCTTGGGTCTTGGTTTGTGCTTGCAGTCCTGGAGTCCAAGAGTCAGAGCATTCATGATCCAACTTCTGCAGGACAGGAACTTCGAGCACTCTTTTCATAGTCAGCGTCCTTGCTAGAAGCCCTGAAGACATCACTCAGTTTTACTTCTTTGTTTTGTTTGTTTGCTTTGTGTATGTTTTTCGAGACAGGGTTTCTCTGTGTAGCCCTGGCTGTCTTGAAACTGACTCTTTAGACCAGGCTGGCCTCAAACTCAGAGATCGGCCCATCTCTACTTCCCCAAGTGCTGGGATTAAAGGCATGCGCCACCACTTGATTTTCAACTAAGCTGGTTTCCACAACCATCGGTTGCTTTTCGTCAGTGGTGTGTACGGCTACTTCCAGTTTCATCTCTCTGTGTGTGACATAGGTGTGTGTGAATGTGTGCACATATGTGCATGGCTCGCATGTGGGAGTCAAAGGACAACCTGAGGTGTCAGTCCGTGCTTTACACTAGCTTGAGACAGGCTCTCTTCATTTGTCACCACTTGGACTCCTTCCTCACTGGCCTTGGTCTCCCAGGCAGTCCACCCTCCATCTCTCATCACCCCGTACTTTGATCTTATGCCCATCCATTCGCCTCCACTCTCCTTGCGTTTTACATTGTGTTTTATGACCATGATTTGAGGAAGCAAAGGTTTAGTCTGTTGTGTTTATAGGAAATTCACCTCCTTCACAGATTTCCAAATACTTTGAAATCTCCACTCTAAGTCTAGATCAGCAAACACACCAACATCCTTTTCCTTACTAATTGAATTACATCATGCATCCATACTGATTAGTGACAATTAATACCATGACAAAGAACAAAGGACTTCACAAAATGGTTTCATTTCATACACACACACCTTTTCACCTCAGAAAGTTAATGCAGAGACCAAAGTAAGGATTTCACCCAAAGTCTGACTTAATGAACCAAGGAGTTTTTAATTGGTGTTGCTAACAGGAGTATGGGTCAAGAGTTACTTACAGGAGCAGGGAGAACTCAGAAAAGCAACTGCATCACAAAAAGGAAGGAAGGAAGGAAGGAAGAAAGGAAGGAAGAAAGGAAGGAAGGAAGGAAAACCCATTGTGGTGTTATTTTGTTTATAATCTAATAAAGCTTGCCTGAAGATCAGAATGCAAAGCTAACCACAGCCATAGTGTCAGGCAGTGATGACACACCTTTAATACCAGCAGCCACACTAGTTAGCCATAGAGGCTGGGCAGTGGTGGTGCATGCCTTTAATCACATCATTAGAGAGGACTATAAAACAGGAGCTCGGGGTCTCAGTCTGCAGTCATGCTGAGGACAGGATTGCCCCAGCCTTGGTAGAGGTGAGAACTCTCTAGTGGTTGGATGCTTCGCTTTTCTGATCTTCAGTTTGAATCCCAGTATCTGTCTCTGGGTTTTTATTATTCAGGCTACAAGCCATCCAAACATAGATGAAGAGCTGTATCCCTGGAGTTTTCTGCATAGCATGTAGGTAGCTCAACAGTCTCGCGATCTCTCCCTCCACTGCTCTCCTTATTTTAGAGTCAGTTGACTATCAATGTTAATTTCCCATCTCA